CATAGGACACACTATCAATGTTCTTTTTTAGTATCTATTCAATATTTTATTGAGTAACATTTTAATGTGACAAACATTTAAGTTGCTAAAATGGATCATTTCCTTTTTGAATTGCATTCCAGGATGACACTTTGCTATTCAACTTTTAAATTGTCCATTTTTCCTTGGGCTGTCACTGTCATCACCTATTTCCAGAAGTTCCTCATTTTGCTGCACTGTGTAGTACATTCAGTACAGAGAGCACTGGGATGAGAGCCATGTATTTTGGCTTGACTATACACAGTTCTTATTCTCAGATGTTGTGTTGACTACAACTCATTATAACCCTATGAACAACAAATCTGAACCTTGCCCTATCCTGTACTATCCTCACAATGTCTAATATGCTCAAGCCCATTGTTAAAGTCACTATGCCAGTCCATATTGTTGAGGGTCTTCCTTTTCATCCTTTGACCTTTCCCAACATGATGTCTTTTTCCAGGAACTGGCCTTTCCCAATAATAAGCCCAAAGTGTGGAAATAAAGTTTGACTATTTTTGCTTCTGAGGAGTACCCTGGTTGCACTTCCTCCAAGATAGAATTGGCTGTTCTTTTGGCCATCTTCTCCAACACTACAATTCAGAAGCATCATTTCTTTTGTCATCCTTATTTCTTGTCTAGCTTTCAGATACGTAGGAAGCAATTGAAAAGACTATGACTCAGATCAGGCACACCTCAATTTTTAAGCTGACATTTATGTTCTTTAACACTTTGGAGAGTTCCTAGACAGCAGATTTTCCCCAATGTAACCTTTTGATTTCCTGCCTGCTATTACCATGGATGTTAATTGTGGATTCATGAAATTGTTTACACCATCAGTCTTTTTCTCCATAGAACATGATGTTGCCTGTTGATGCAATTGTGAGGATTTTTGTTTATTTTATGTTGAGATGTTACTCATTTTGAAGGCTGTTGTCTTTGATCTTCTGCAGCAAATACTTCAAGACTTCTTCATTTTCAGCTAGCAAGGCCATGTTATTTGTGTCAGATGGGTTTTTGATGAGTCTTCTTTCAATCTTGATAGCACATTCTTTATATAGTCCACCTTCTTGAATGATTTGCTCAGCATATGGATTGAAGAGGTATGAAGGAAGGATATGTTCTGTCTGGACAACTTCTTGGTCTAAGTTTATAGGTTTCCCTTGAGTACAAGTAAGTGCTCTGGGATTCTCATTCTTCTCCCTGTTACCATACTTTGTTAACATCCAGAGTCAATCATCTTTGTGTAATCAATAAAATATAAGTAAAACATATAAGCTAGAAAACATAAATATCTTTCCAATATTCTTTCAGCCAAGATCCATCCATCTGACTTTAGCAGTGATGATGTCCCTTTTTGCCACAACTTTTTCTGAATCCAACTAAAATTTCTGGCACTTCCCTGTTGATGCGTAGTATTCTAGCAGGTTTTGGATTAATCGTCAAGATTTTACTTGCATGCGATGTTAATGAAATTATTTGATCATTTCTGTTTGATCACCATTTTTTTAAAATAAGCTTCAATATGGCTTCCTTATTGTCAGTTTGGCTTGGCATTTTATTTGGTATTCATTCAATTCCCAGGGCCTTATTTACCAATGTCTTCAATACAGCTTAAATTTCTTCCTTCATTATGATTGATTCTTGATTATTTGCTACTCCTTGAAGTGGTTTACTGTTGGAATCAACTGTGATTCAGCAAGCCTATGAATAACAGATCTGCCCTTACCTCATCCTCTGCCATTCTCAGCATCTCTGATACACTGGAACTCCATGTTATAGTCACCGTGTCAGTTCCTCTTTTTGAGAACTTTCCTCTTTGAAATGGTGTTGTGTGAAACACGTTTATTTTTGTTACAGTGACTCACTGTATTCCCTGTCTTCTGTTGCTTCATTCAAGGTTTTGCCTAAAGACTCCATCTCTATTGTAACTTGAGGCTTACATTTCTTTTTCAGTTATTACAGACTGAGAAATGCCTAATGTGTTCTTTTATTTTTTTTCTAATTGCAGCTCTCTACATATTTCATTATAGTACTTTGTCTTCTCAAGCTACCCTTTGAATTTTTTTGTTCATCTCTTCAGCATTGTTCACTTTGTATTGGCTACTATGTTCTAGTGCAAGTTTCAATTTCCTCGGACATCTATTTTGGTCTTTCATCTTTGTAATGGACTTTTGCTCTATTTATGGATAATATCCTTGATGAGGTGGATTGATTCAGTGACTGGGGTAATCGGGATGGGTGTGTCAGAGGCCATGCGATTGGCACAGGATAGAGCAGGGTTTAGGGCTTTTGTACATAGGGTTGCTATGAGTCGCAAACGACTCGACGGCACATAACAACAACAACCACAACCACAATATCCTTGATGTCATCACACAACTCACTGGTCTTTGGCTATTAATGTTAAGTTCATCAGATTTAAAGATGGTTTTTAAATTCTGGTGGGATAGACTGAAAAGCATATTTTGGTTCTTGTGAACATAGTTTAATTTTTTTCAGGTTTAACTAGAATGTTTACGTGACTAATTGATGATTTGTTCCATAGTCAGCCCATTGCCTTGTTCTATTGATATTGAGTTTCTCCATTGACTTTTTCCTACAAATATTGGCAGTGTGATTTCAGGAATAGTCTTATCAAATGAGGTCCTTATGAATAGTCACTGTTCATGTCTATTTTTTTAAAAAAATATTTTTAATTGTAAAAAATAAGTGTATGAGGCTCCAAGGGCATAAGGGGTGGGAGCAGAACAGTGAGGTTGGTGAGGATGATATTACAGGGTTGCACAGTTTGGTGGATGGAGGGAGTGGGTAAAGGAAATGAGAAGGATCTGGCAGGGACTGGAAAAGACAGAGTAATGGTGAGCATTGTTCAGTGGTGATTAATTTTTTTGTTTGTATTAAAGACTGGACTTTTTATTTCTTAGTTCCCCCTTTGGCAAGAGGGGTGCAAGCTCTGGCTACTTCATGCTGAACAGGGGTGTTGAGATAAAGGGGAAGGACAGCCCATTTAACACTTTACTGGTGGTGTTGGTTTGAAGCTCTCTGTCTATCTGTTTCATGGACTATGCAAAGGCATTTGACTGTGTAGATCATAACAAACTGTGGCTGACTCTGAGAAGAATGGAAATCCCAGAACACTTGATCGTTCTAATGCAAAACTTATACTTGGACCAGGAGGCAGTCGTCAGAACAGAGCAAGGGAACACTGCATGGTTCAAAATTGGGAAGGGCGTACGCCAGGGATGCATCCTATCTCCATACCTTTTCAACCTATATGCAGAACAGATTATCCGGGAGGCTGGGCTCTATGAGGAGAAATGGGGGGTCAAGATTGGTGGACGATTTATCAACAATCTGCATTATGCGGATGACACAACCCTGCTTGCTGAAACTGAGGAGGACCTGAAGCGCCTGCTGCAGAGTGTCAAGGACTGCAGCCTACAATATGGATTGAGGCTCAATGTCAAGAAGACAAAGATTCTCACCACTGGACCAATTGGTAGCATCAGGATGGATGGTGAAGAGATTGAGATTGTACACAGCTTTAGTTTGCTTGGCTCCATAGTCAACAGTCTTGGCACCAGCATCCAGGAAATTAAAAGGCACATTGCCATGGGAAAGTCTGCTGTTAGGGACCTCTCCAAAGTGCTGAAGAGCAGTGGTGTCTCTCTGGAGACTAAGGTGCGTTTGATACAGGCCATGGTCTTCGCAATCACCTGTTATGCATCAGAGAGTTGGACAATGACCAAGGAGGATAGAAGGAGAATTGATGCCTTTGAGCTGTGGTGCTGGAGAAGAGTATTGAGAATACCATGGACTGCTAGGAAAACAAACAGATTTGTCCTGGAGAGGGTTAAACTGGGTGGCTCCTCGGAGGCAAGGATTCTGAGGCTCCGTCTAACTTACTTTGGACATGTTGTGAGGAGAGACCAGTCCTTAGAGAGGGACATCATGCTTGGGAGGGTGGAGGGACAGCGCAGGAGAGGAAGGCCTTCTATGAGGTGGATTGATTCAGTGACTGGGATAATTGGGATGGGAGTGTCAGAAACAGTGCGATTGGCACAGGACAGAGTGGAGTTTAGGGCTGTTGTACATAGGGTCGCTATGAGTCGCAGGCGACTCAATGGCACATAGCAACAACATGCCTTCTTGTTCAGTTAGAAGATATTTTCAGGATGTTTTCTGTCCTCTGGGCTACAAGGTGTTTGTGTGGGTGAGTCCAGGGGGAGTGGTTTGCTGAACTTTGAGGCTCCATCTTCTTTCACTTCCTTAGCTGGCAGTTATATTTCCCTTTTGTCTCTGGAACTGGGCTCTGGGTTCAAGTTCTGAACAAGATTCAGTGTTCCAGTTACCTATAGGAAAGGGAGCAAACCTAGAGAGAACAAACTTGTGAGTTACAAAGAAAAGGGTTTTGGAGGTGTTACTTACAGGTGTACTGGAGGAGGAGATGGAAGAATGGCTCTCCCCTTCAGTGGCCCTTTTATGTTTGTTTGGGTTTTTTTTAAAAGATATTTACAATGAATAAATCATTAATTGTACAAAATTCTATCATTTCATCTCCAGTCTCATTTCTTTCACTAAGTCCAGTTTTTTCCAATTCTTTGTTTCCAACTTTTGCATTCCAGTCACCACCTATAACTAATGCATCTTGTTTGCATGCTTGTTCAATTTTCAACAGAAAATATTGGTAGAAGTCCTCCATTTGATCGTCTTTGGCTTTTGTGTTTGGTTTACATATTTGAATGATAATTGTAGCAATAAGTCTCCTTTGTATACTTATGGATAGGATACTGTCATTCACAGCACTGTATGTTCTTCAGGATACATCTCATAGTGTTCTTTTTAATGCAACACCATTCTTCAAGTTGTCATTTCTGGCATAGTAGATCATGTGATTGTCTGATTCAGAGTGGCTAGTACATCTCAGCTCACTAATACCTAGGATGTGTATCTTTATGTATTCCATTTCATTTTTGTAGCTTCCAGTTTTCTTCAATTCATACTTCACACCCATCTTGGATACAAATTTCCACATTGGGGAAGTAATGGCTTTGACTAGGTTACTTCAAGCCACATATGGTGTTAATATTCTCTCAGAGTTGGTTCTTCACCTGTTGGTGACTGTCATCCTAGCATTGGTGTTAGGCGATGGAGTAGAAGAGGTCTGGGTTAGTAAGGTAAACTCAAGGAAACTGGGCATTGTGGTACAAAGGGTTGATTGTCACATTGACTTTTCTAACCCAAAAGCTTGATTTACAGCACATAGCTGGATAGGAATATGTCAGCCAGGTGGGTAAACTATTCAGAAGGCACTAATGCACGTTTACAATCTCCCCAGGTTAGCACAGAAGATGGGAATCTTACTATAAGCAAGGAATAAGGAAGAGAGATGCAGATTTCTACACCAGTCTGACTGAGACCTAGATGACAGCAGTAGCAGCAGTCGAGAACCAGTGAAATAGCATTTAGCTAGGACTACTACCCAACAGCCAGGGCCAGGAGCTTCCTCTCAACTTACTGGAGGACTGTGGAGGAATACACCATGATTTACAGGTCTAAGAGAGCCTTGAAACACTGACAGAGCTGACACAGAGAGCTGACACTGTCACAGAGCCAGAGCTAGAGGCCTTCTCCCAAGCTTCCTAGGGGACTTCAGTGGAGATTCCTTGACTGGTAGGACTTAAGAGAGTTTTGTAACACTGACTTAAAGCCTCCAGACTGAAGATTAAAGGGTCTACATGCATTCTTGATAAGCTGTCCTGACTGTAGAATTGTATCATTACTAATCTGAATTGTAACCTGTTTGTTCCCTAAAAAAACCACATAATTGTGAGCATGATTCTGTGAGTTCTTTGTGGATATTGCAGTGAATGTTGCAGCCCAGTGAAAACCCTCAGAGGTATGTTTGGGATGGAGTTGATAGAAGTAGATGCCAGAGCATAGGGACATATCTGAGCTCATAGATGTAGCTTTAGTGCTGTGGTGACTGCTTTCTCTTGGGAAGTTAGGGAAGGTCACACTCGGCTAAATTCACACCAATAATCTCTTTTTACATGCAGAAATAGAGTAGCCTTTCTGTGGAGGGCTGTCAGTATGGTGTAGGAATTTGTACATTTTAAGTGTTATCTGTTCAAAATAATTTGGGCAAACTGAAATATAAAATTTATGAGATTCATGGGTGAGTTGGTCAAGATCGATCTATTGCTTGTCTGAAATTAAGTTTTGAGTTTTCCTACTTGATAAAGAAGTATTCCTTTTTAGGGGATGGTGAAAGAATTGTGTGGCAGATGTCCTGATCAAGGTTTATTTCTGATGTGTATACTTGCATTTTCCATTTCAGACAATAGATGACTTGCTGCGGTGTGGAATTTGCTTTGAATACTTCAACATTGCAATGATGATTCCTCAGTGTTCGCATAACTGTAAGTGTGTATTATTTATGAATTAATAAAAAATGTGGTTTTTACATAAGCTGGTGTTATTTTAACACATACATATTTCTGATTGTTTAACTCCTGTCTTGAAATGTTCAAGCTTCCCAGTTTTGCTTCATTTCCCTCTTGGTTAATAGTGCAGCTTGCTATGGGATAAGCCACAAAAACTCCCTCATCACCTCCTCTTTGGATATGAAAGTTTTTACAAGGCTTCTATCTCATTTGCTGCTCTTTCCTTTCCTCTCTTGCTGCCTGACAGCAACAACAACTCCCTCCCTTGGAATATTTTTGTGCCTTTCATGCATTTAAAGCAGTAGCGATTTTGATCATGATACATATTTTTATTTGTCAAGGATTTCCACTTCCAAAATGGCTTGCCTCTGGAAAGTCTATGTACGAACAGTGCTCAGGCTGTTCGTTCATAGGGTCGCTATGAGTTGTCTACGACTCGACGGCATTAAACAACAACAACAAACAAGCTTCAGAATTTTTTTTTTCATTCATTTAGTGTTGTACTGTTCTCTCTTCCCCCCCACTCCCCCCCAATTCACTCCTCTCTGTGAAAAGTAAAAAATTCTTTCCTTGTTATACAGTCACTCCCCCCAAGTCCACTCCACTATGCAGCCTTCATTCTGGAAATCTGACATAGTAATTGCTAATCATATATCCTTTTTAAACAGTTCTCTTTCTCATCTGTTTCAATGCTGTATACATTATTTATCCCCTCTTTCTCAGTCTTCTTTCAACCCTGATGTCAGTCCCATTTTAAAACAGTAGCCCTATGCAGTATTTGCCCTTTTGTCACTGAGCATAGTATCCTCCAGGGTCACCCATTTTGTATAATATTTCGTGAATTCCTTGTTTTTTTTAATGCAGCATAGTATACCATTGTATGAATATATCATGGCATCTCTGTCTGTTTGTTTGTTGACGGGCATGTAAGTTGTTTCCAACTCCTTGCTATTGTGAACAAAGCCGCAATAAACATAGGTGTGCACATATCTGCTCAGAAATTTTGTTTTTAACCAAGCAGTCCTGAATGAAATAATACAAATAAGGTTGCAAATAATGTAACCCTCTTGTGGGATTTGTTATATTTTTCAGACTTCAAACTTAATGGGAGGAGATTTTCTTTCTCCTGAGGAGCAGCTGCTGGATTTGAGTTGTGCTCCCTAGGGTTGGCAGCACACCTTTTACCGCTAGGCCACCCCACCAGAGTTGTTGTTGTGTACTCTCGAGTAGGAATGATTTAGAGCTGATCCTCCAGTGGGTCATGGGCCCATCGTTCTTCATGAGAAACTGGTAGGTTTGAACCATGTGCATTTTGGTTTGCAGTGCACCTCCTTACAACCAAGTCACCAGAGCTCCTTAAACTACCAGTAATGTGTGTGAAACCATAGTGAGGGAAGTGGACAGTATTAACATCCTGCTGGCGTAAATGAGTCATCCTAGTGGTAAAAGGATGGGCCTTACAATTAAGCAGAAAGAAAATCAGATGTAGAGTATAGCCTTTGAACTGGGATCCCTATGCTGAAAACCTCCTCAATCAAGGAGACAGAAAGGAGAGAGCTATCACAGAAGAGAGGTGATTAAATGGCAGCAGCAGAGCCAGAAGCTGTGCAGGAAGCAGCCTTGTGGACTTTCTGGCCCATGGAGAGTGAGCTTAATGCCCTTTGGGGAGAAGGCTTGCTAATGGAGTATAGTGCCTTAGGACCTGGATTTGACACAATCAAGGTTCTAAGAAAAGCTTTCATTGCATTAAGGCTAAGTATCGCACACACTATCCAAATAGTAGATAAAATTGTCTTGAATTAAAATACTTCCTTGCTGTTGTTCCTAATTAGGGCCATTGACTTGTCTGTGACTTATACTGACCCTAGGAACCTTGCCTTGTCCTGCACCATCCTGTTATGATGGAGCCCATTGTTATTGCCACTGTGTTAATCCATCTTGTTTAGAGTCTTCCTCTCTTTCTCTGACCTTTCCCCAGTATTATGTTTCTCTCCAAGGATTAGTCTATCCTGACATTTCCAAAGTGTGAGAGATGAAGTTTCACCATCGTTGCCTCTAAGGAGTGCCATGGTTGCTTTCCTCCAAGACAGAATTGTTTGGCAATCCATGGGATAGTCAATTCTCTTCTCCTGCACCACCACTGAAAGGCATAGAGTCTTCTGTCATTCTTATTCATTGTCCTAACTTTAAGATGCATAGGCAGTAATTGAAAAGACCATGATTTGGGTCTAGTGCACCTAAGTCTTAAAACTGACATCATTCCTTCCTGTGCTAACCATAATACTCAATCATATATCACTTCAGGAATCCAGAATTAAGGTTGCATAGAGAAGTGTACTAGGGGTGGGGGTTGGGGGGAAGGGACGTGGAAATTGTATACTAATGAAGAAATTTTTTTTTCTCTCTTCGGAGGGGGAAGCGAGCTGGTGGGGAGGTGTGGGAAGGGAGAAAATTGCGGCA